AAACCACAAGAAAAGCCAGCGGACCGTTATAAATTATCTTTAACATTGTTATTACGATAATATTAGATAATAATTAAATTCGATGGCTCGGGTACAAAAAGTGGAAATGGTTGAAGTGAGCTGAATGCGGAAGTCCATGACCTTATTTGAAAAATAATCTTTGAAAAACTCATAAACATTCTGAATAATTTCGAGTAATATAATTCGAACTGTTTAAAATACAAACAGAATAAATGGCGTACCTTTTCCACTACCATAATGAATATTGCTGGCTGGAGTAATTGTATATTTTGCTTATTTGAATAGTGTGAACTAGTGCGGGTAGATCAATAATAAAAATAATATAAAATAAAATTATAGATCAATAAAAATATAAATGCACTTAAAGGGTTAGATCAATAAATGATCCATTTAACCTGTAAAATCAGCTATAGAGAACCTGCGTGACTTTGATTATTAGACACTAGCGCTCATGGTGCCCAAATTTAACATTTATTATGTGAGAGAAATTGAATTTTATACTTGTCACTACAGCAATAATAAATTATTTATTAAGATTAAAAATGTCTAACATATAAAAAGTGGATTCCAAAAAATAAATGTCCCGGATCTCCAGCAGTCGTCAGATAAGAGAGTTGAAAATTTATTCCTGAGTAACCATGTAAAAAATATTGAAGAATGGGAAACTGGAGATACTAATTTGATAAAAGCTCAACTTATACGTCAAACTAGTATTAAACAAAATTTTTATGTAACACTTGAAGTAAGATTTAATTTATTATTATTCTTATAATTTTGCATATCATTCGAAATTTATACTAAGGTTATATGTATTTTAATATTTAGATAAATGTCAACAGAAGTATCACAGTTAAATCTGATAAGCCAGTTAAATTTGATAATATAAATATTGTATGTTCACTAAGTAGTATGCTGAAATCTGCAAGAGCGACAGAATCAAGCAAAACAGCAAACTTTATAATTCCAGAATTAATTGATACTGTAGTATGCACTCGAAATTGTTTAGTTACCAGATCTTGATTTCTTTTCACCGATTTTCCCTCTCATAGTCACTTTATTAAATTTATTGTAACGATATTTATTATTACAATAAGTTATTGTAAAATACGTATGTATTCAATTTGTATATATTTCCAAGAAATAATTCATAAAAACTACATGCTTCGCGTATTAAAATGCATGTTTATAACCACTTTCGTCCTCACATATGAACTTACAAAGTTAACGACAGAGGCGCTACTAGTTCTTATGCAGGTTCTCTATGTACCCAGATCATTGAAACTATAGAATCACCTAAACCGGTCTATTCGACCGAATCTGTGATTCAATTTGAAGTTTAAACTTTAAAAACCAAGACCATTTAAATGCTTTATCACGTATCATCACGTTGACTTTCCTGGATATATTTAATGAATGACACGGAGGTTTCGCTCATCTCTTGGTGAAACATGTTAAAAACTATAAAAGTAAAAATTGACATACTTGACTCAAGTTTCACTGAATATATTAAAAACTCTACATATGTTTCGGGTAATTAACCCATTATCAAGAGTATACAATATTACTCAATATTGCTTACTCATTTTTTTTAAATAATATATTAAATTAATTATAGATATGTATATATAAATCAAACTCATAGGAATCACTTGGCTCACCATGAGTTTTTCAGAGGTTTCCTCTAATACTAAAAATGAATATATGAAAATACAAAAAACTGATTGGATTTTTTTTAATAAGTTTGACATTTTATTGTAATTATATTATATATAAAGATATATTGTAATTCATAAATTTCAATTATTCATTAGTTCTGACAAAGTTGTGATATACAACGAAACGTCAACGAAAATAAAGCTTTTAAAATTAAAATAAGCCTGTTATTGCTAAAAACATCGAAAATAATATATATAGGTATATATATATATATATATATATATATATATATATATATATATATATATATATATATATATATATATATATATATATATATTTCTTGAAATTGATTTATTGCCTGTTTGAGGTATTTATTTTGAAATTAGTTTTGATTTTTATTTATTCATTAGTTTTGACAAAGTTGTAATATAACAACGAAACGTCAACAGAAATAAACTTTTTCATATTAAAAAAGCCTGTTAATGCTAAAAACTTTCAAAATATATATATATATATATATATATATATATATATATATATATATATATATATATATTTTGAAAGTTTTTAGCATTAACAGGCTTTTTAATATGAAAAAGTTTATTTCTGTTGACGTTTCGTTGTTATATTACAACTTTGTCAAAACTAATGAATAAATAAAAATCAAAACTAATTTCAAAATAAATACCTCAAACAGGCAATAAATCAATTTCAAGAAATATATATATATATATATATATATATATATATATATATATATATATATTTCTTGAAATTGATTTATTGCCTGTTTGAGGTATTTATTTTGAAATTAGTTTTGATTTTTATTTATTCATTAGTTTTGACAAAGTTGTAATATAACAACGAAACGTCAACAGAAATAAACTTTTTCATATTAAAAAAGCCTGTTAATGCTAAAAACTTTCAAAATATATATATATATATATATATATATATATATATATATATATATATATATATATATATATATATATATATATATATATATATATATATATATATATATATATATATATATATATATATATATATATATATATATATATATATATATACATATATATATATATACCCTTTTTTGAAAATTAATTTACTGCCTCTCTAAGATAATTAAGGTAATTCATAAAATTGAATTATTCATGAGTTTTGACAAAGTTGTGATATACAACGTCAACAAAAATAAAGATTTAAACATTGAAAATTGCCTGTTATTGCTAAAAATAACTTATATATATACTAATATATTTATTATTTATAATAAATAATTTAATATTTAAACTTTCTCCTCAAAATATGTACATAATTTTAGTAACAACTGATTATAGAATTGCTACTTTCTATAACATATATTTCTACAGATTCCAATAACACCTGGTGCATTTTTATTACAAGTTCATTCCGAGTTGTTCCAAGATTGAAACAGAGATTGTTACTTGATCTCAATGCATGGTGGAAATCCTGAAGATCTCTTATATTGAGAATTCTCTGCATTCCCTATGTAAATAAAAGATGAACTATATAGCATATATGAAACATATTCATATATATTGAAATACATTATTATCATCTTATTTATTTTTCTATTTTCATCAAGTGTCATCTTAAATAATTATAATTCGATTTATTTATCATTTCACACATATAAATCTAATTATACAGTCAGTAAAATACAAAAAATCCAGATTTATTAGCTGCTTATTATGTTCATAATATCATCATGACAGTGGTTGATACTGCATATCAGCACTAGGAGTTACTTTTACTTATTGAGTGTTTGGAAAGAGGCTAGATTCTGTAGAAATTCTACGTTAAATACTAATCCCGTTCATAAAAGCTCATTTTATTTTCATAAAATTGACTCATTGGGAGACATTTATTTGATGACTGAATAATTTGAATGAATTCCCTCTGTTATAAATATAAAATTTGTGGCTTCATTTTATTATACGTACAACTGTTTATTATACAAACAGAATAATTGGCATACCTTTTTCACTACAGTAATTAATATTGCTAACTGAAGTAATTGTAAATTTTGCTTATTTGAATAGTGTGAAATATTGGTTTTCCGAATATTAGTATTACCAGTAGGTATTCATAAATGCGTTCAAATTTTAGAATAGTTAGAAATCGTTGTTTTATTTATTCGTTCGAATATGTCATAATAAAGTTAAAATTAATTTTGTTGATCATTATCCTCAAATTTACAATTTTAGCTTGTTTCTGAAATATTATCAGTTCGTGTAATATCAAAGAATTTGTAAAAATTACGAATAACAGAAACAAATTTTATTGAAGCAGAAATTCCTATAATTATCAAAATTTCAAGAAGTGAAGGAAACATGAGAGGAATCAGATTTTTATCATATAATTTGGAGAGAGAAAGAACGCAACGTGAAATTTGTAAAATAATAATTTCAATATTCTTTTCATTCGCTTGAACTTTTCATCAGAAACTTTATATATTCAATATACAAAAGCTTTATAAGATTATATCTATTCATCCTCGAAGATGTCTTATTATGGACGTGAAACTTAGTGAAGTTAGGGATGTGCATGTAGACTTTTCTAAAGATAATATTTCGATGTTTCACAAAATTTACATTGAAATACTCACTTCAATAATGTATCAACAAGTTATTTAATGAGACTCATCCTGCTCAAAATGCTATAAGAAAATCTTATTATATATTATCGATTTGCAGTTGACCTTACAAAGACTTCTTACTAATCAGGATACTCCTTGAAAGGAAGAACAGTGTTCTTATTAAAATCCCTTTTGTCAGAAAATTCATAAAATGCAAATTTAGAGAACATTTCATCTTTATGCTCTATTCCTTTCATCAGGTTATTGGAATATTTTGAGATTCTTTCGATAAAGGAAATTTTTGTTCCAATGATTGGTAACTGTTGTCGCTAAATAACATCTAGCAAATTCGCAATACTACATTTATCGTTGTTTAAATTTATAGTATAATTCAAAATACTGCACTAAATTTTACCTAACCTTCTAATACGCTCAACATATTTAACAGGCTACTAATCCATTAACAAGTGTTCAATAGAACTACTTGAAAAATTTTATGAGTTCTTAGAATTCTATGGTTAAACTCGAAATCTTAACTCTTTATACGAACTCTTAATATTGAAATGATTTAGAAAGCAATATATATTTTTCCAATTCAGTGAACCTACATTTTAACGACGGTTCCGAACGGCCAATGGGCTTGTAATCAATATACCTTACCCAGCAATTATCATCAATAAATTATTCGAATCATAGACAAACACATCACCCATGCCTTCCCCGGGGCTCGAACCCGAATCCTACCGCACCATAGTCGGGTGTTTTTCCGATAAAGCCACGGAGGCCAACAGATTATTAATAGTTAGTATGTAACCTTTTCAAAGGAGATGTATTGAAGACATGATAATGGGTAATAGCCCCATTTGTCGCATATGTTCGCACTAAACTTGATCGAACTCTGCTTAAATGTACCTTAAAATTTTTTTAAATTAATTCAATTATAACTAATTGCCGTCTATTAACAGCGTAAGGTGCGAAGGCAGAATGGGGTTTGATTTTCAGAAAAAATCACGAAACTTCACATGTGTATTGAGGTGAAGTCTGTAGTGAAAATAATCATATGGATTTATTTTTTCGTGTCTTAAATTTAAAGTGAAATATCACTTTGTTACATGGTTTTTACCGTATATCTACTTCTATGGGTTATTACGGTTGTATATTACCTTAATTGATTCTCTTGACATTTATATTAATGTTGTACTTATTGAAATTGTTGAGTAGAATTGAAATAAAGAATTCAGAAAAAAATACACATGATTTTGGGTAGCGTTGGCGTCTTTGTCTGAAACAGCACCATTTATCACCGTATAGAGAACGGAGGGGGTTGAATAGTTGCTAAAAACAATCACGTTATTAATGGACCGCCCCTAATCTAAATCAAAGGTTAACGAGTAACCCTTCCTGATAAAACATCTTACAGCTAGAATTTTTCATCGAGTTTCACTTACTGATGTTCACTTGTTCTCTTTTAGATTCATTACACAACACACCCCCTTCCTAAGCGGGTGACAAACAAAATTTCACATAGAAACGTCCACAACACATGTTTCTACAATAAGAAATATGCCAACTCCATAGCCATTCCCAAAATTGCGACTTTGTGAACTTCAAGATATTAGATATGAATTCGGAAAAAAATTCGGTGCCCCCTTCCTAAGCTTGTGACAAAAAAATTTCACATAGAAACGTTTACAATACATGTCTCTACAATACGAAATATGCCTACTTCATAGCCATATCAAAATTTTCGAACTATAATCATTTTATAAAGGGAAAAGATTCCCCATACAATAAAAGTATAGTATAGTATAGTAGAAAAGTTCATCCACAAGCGTGGATGAACCACGGAGCCAGCCACGGTTGGTTGCGATGTTGCCAGTTGGTCGACCGTGGCTGTCTTCACATCGGTAACATAAATTCAGAAGGTTTAAACCTTTTGAGTATTCTCAATATGCGAGGTTGGTCCACCACGTGGTTTGCTTCAACGTTAACGTGGTTATAAAGCTGCCTTCGAGCTTTCCTGCAAAATTTCTTGCCTCGTCTGCTGCTATATCCACTCTTTGCTCTATGTGCATGTCGCTATTTCTTAGCACCAAGGTGCGTTGTCAATATCTCTCAGTACCTCGTTGTGAAATCTTTGAATCTTAAAACAAGACTCGGGCTGGCACACCCTCAAAGTTGTATGTCATATGCCATAGAGGCTTTAAAATCTGTTTCTATATGATGAGTTTATTTGAGTTGATAGTTTATCTACTAATACCTAATATATTTACCTCTGAAGTATAATTAATTATGCTAATAGTTTTTAATTAATTTAATGTTCCAAACTCAGAGTGTGTCTTTTCAAGACACGAACCAACATGTTCACCAATAAGACAAAACACGAGTTCTTTTTTCTGATCCAATGGTGTTATTTGTGGTATCTTATAGATTTTTCATAATTCTCCACTTCAAAGCCCCTTAGTTGGTTTCAAATTTATATTTCATCTTCTTAGGCTCACAGCCAGGTTACAAAGCTATATGTTACCACTGCTAGTATGTATTTGCTGAACTTCTGATTTCAATAATATTAGAACAATCATAATGAATATATATTTCAATTTTCTGTAAAAGGCCTGTTCTAGTGTGTTTGCTGTAGATTTTCATTTCTTGCTTCTGTTTGTTTGATGTTAAAATTGTCCACAGGTATTTTACCTTTGTATATTTTTATTGTATTTTCATGATTTTCAATTGTTTCATCTGCCTGTTGTATATTTGTCATAAACTGAGTTTCGTGTAGTTCACGTGTCAATCTGTAGTTGAACTTTGGGGAATACTCCAATATTGGGCAAATATTAAATGGATTTGCTGAGACAGAAACAAGACGTACAGCTGGCTATATGTTTATGTAAGCTCCAGTATCCTTCAAAAAATAAAGTTAGAGAACATCAGATATATAGTTATAACATGGAGATCCATAGTAGATCTGGATGATAGTAGATCCATATTGATCTGGATGGAAGCACAATACAAACGTTTTCTTTCTATAAGAGATGTAAGTCGTTACTTAATCGTCCTTAAATTTTTACACTAATGAATTGCTACATACAAAACAGATTACTACATTCACTGAGTATTTTTGTGTGCATATTAGCATATGTTTCATTTATCTTTGCTTTCAAACACAAAAACTAAAGTGAGAAAGCATTGAGTGATCATGATCGGATATTCATGTATATTTATAATTTTTGAATGAGGAATGCACGAAAATATTCCATATAAATCGATGTTGCATTAATAATACAATATTCATGGAACAAAAATTTAAAATACGGTAATATCTGAACCCATTACTGTCTACGATTTTTATTCATTTGCTTCCAACGTATTCAAGTTTAAATGCCTCTAAGTGATCTTGATTAAATTACAAATATACTTTAATAATCTTCACGAAAAATATTTGCATATGAGTGTTGTTTAAGTGGAAATTAATTACCAGGTATGTGCGATTTCAAGCAACTAACAAAATGGTTTTAATATTCTTAATTAAGATAAATGGAATTTATCTTTTTTTGCATTTCAAACCGAAAGAGTTAATTAGAACTCTTAACTCATTCAAATTAATTGAAAGAAGCGGACGGTCTTCTTGAAAATAAATGCAAGGAAATTGAAGAGAAAAGTGTTTGATGCAATCAATTTACTTAAAGAACTAGCTTTACAGTTCATAAATATTCATAATTTTGTGAGGCGATCATTTAGTAGGTTAGATAGCTACTTTATAATATCTGTGAAAGTATTTTATTACCTACTAGTTTTAGGTAAAACTAGTAGACATTTCGGTACTAGAATACAGGAATATAAATAGAGTTTCGCCCATAATAAAAATTATTCGAATTATACTAACCATTTATCAATAGAAAACCATACTTTTGATACAAATTCCAAAATTTTACACAATAAAGAGAGAAATAGTCTTTTAGATTAAAGAGAAATAGTGGAAATAAATCGGCTTGAAAATTCTGGAAATTTGCTCAATGAACAGATATAATTAAAGAACTCACCCTTGTTAAACCTTTTCAGGTAATAGAAATTATTTGTCAGAATGGAATATCTTAGGTAGAACCAAAGTCGTAGAATCCCAAATTCCCTGATATTTATACCTGTATTTTTTAAAATGTTGTTTTTATTCTGTAAGCATCTGAAGAAGTCGTTTGTAACGACGAACCGCGCCATGCTATGTAGTCAATAAAGTGTAAATCATAAGTTCAAGTATTTGAATTTAAGTTTATATTCATTTACATTTTTGATTCATTTTTGAGTTTCATCTTTCGCCAATATATGTTTGCTCATGCAGTTACAGTTTTGAAGGCTTTCGTTAAAATCATTTCGTCATTTGATGAGACTTTAATAGTTTTAATGTTGTTTCGCATAAATAATTTAACAATTTAAAATTCTCAGTTTATGACATACCTAAAACAATTTCTATTCAAAATCTCATGGAAATTGCTAACTTTACAATTTCAAATATATTCGAAACGATATAAAAAATACTAAGATGAAAAATGTAATATTCCTCCTGCTCTGCTTCTTAATGATCGCTAAAAATGTCGGAATTGCCGATACTTTCAAATCTGAGTTTTATCATTTTCATTTCATCCTCCAGCTCCTCCACTCCCTTTATTGAATAAAAGAAATGGGCTGTGAAAATTTCAGTGCCTCTCTCTGAACACGTCGATAAGTGTTTTGTTGCTACAAAATTTCCAACAGCCAGGAATGAAGCATTGTTGGGATGCTTCTGAGCATAAGATGAAAGCTTTGAAGATGTCGTTGCGGAGAAACATAAGAAAGATACTTAACTTTCATTATTTTTTATCTTATAAGTACACATTGCCATTTTTCTTTACATTGTGTTGTTCACTAATGAGGAACTTACGCTCACATTCATGTAATCTCCTCTAAAATTACAGGGTGGAGGAAATACCTTGATGTTATAGCATCTAGAAAAATCTGCTCAACTTCTCATGAAAATTTCATATTCATTCAACTTAAATGGATTCTTAATTTAATTTGAACTTAATGTTTACTAAGTAATGAAATGAATAACAATAATTATATGAAATCATTTGAATGTTAACAATAAATGTTCAACAATTTATTTTAATAATTTAACTAATATAAAAAATAATTATAATTTTTTAACAAATAATGATATTCATTTAGCTGAAGCTATTAAAAAAATTTATATAATTTGGAATGACAATTTACTCGTGAATGAAAATATTTTTTGGATTGAGAAAATTGACTCCGTCGTACTTTATGCTAATTTTAGATTTAGGAAGCTTACAACTTTGAATATAAAGAGTATTAGTACTTCTAGTATCATTATTATTATATCTAGTATACTAGTATTATACCCATGCACACCACTGCAATATGGCGCATTTCACGTGAAGCGGAAAGGAAAAAAAAGTGAAGTTCTGAAAATCGATCATATTCGGCTCATTTATACTTCTAATACGTATGAACGTGAACACAAAATATTTTTTATGTATAATGTATATTTCACAAGTTATGGGTTTCTAAAGAATTGTCGTAATTGTAATATCAATTTTTTGAAAGTAGTTTTTCGAATTTATCAAATTTACAATAAAATATTTAACATAGCGATACATATTGGAAAAATACTGTTCTTTTCAACAATAAAATGAAAATCGAAAAAAAAATTTTTTTTATGTCCAAAACGGGAATAAACTTTTCAAACTTGAATTTCAGTCACTTCAATCTTTTGTTTCAATTTTTTTCTCAA